ATCCTTTTGTCTGTAATATATTCTTTAGGCAGTCTTTCGAATATATATATATTTCGAAGACTTGCTACAATAGCTCTAATTTTACGTAAGTCTGCTATTGGAAGAGTAAATAGTAGTTTAGTAAAGATAGGTTCTGGTATTTTACTTGGAGTAGGAGGTAAAAGGATCAGTTGTTTGCTTTTGGCTATGTTGATTATTTTCTTTAGAGAGTTAAAGTCAAGTTTAATCAGAATTTTAACAAATCTGATAAGATATAGCATGTATCGAGTGATTTCGTGAGTATCTAATTCAGTGAATTCTTTGTTAGTTCAATAGTCAACTGCTATTTTTTTCCTCAGTATATCGAATATTTGGTCTTTGTTGTTTTTATTAATGATTGCTATATTATAGAGAGTTTTGTATTTTTCAATTGCTATATTAAGTAAGTATTGGAATTCTTTTTGGTGAACTGGTCTTGAGTCATTATTTCATATAAAGGTTCTAAAAAAGAAACGATCAAAATAAATGAGTTTTGCACTTATTCCAAGTAGAATGAATTTCTGAGTAGGCTTAGATTGGAGTTTGTGCTCAATTAGTTTTTGAAATTCTGTTGGAGAAGAGAAAGCAGTGATAATTTTGTTACGAGTTCATAGTTCTTTGTCGAACTATAGTATTTTTAATGAGGAGAGTACTTGTCGAGTTAAATTTATCTAAGTTTTTATGAGTCAGGTCAGGTCTGAATGCTGATTTGTTTTGGAATTACTAGATCCTGCTACTGCTTAGCAGTATGTTTTAGTATATGTATTGATTCCTGCAGAGTCTGTTGTTGATGTAATATCTATATTCTGATTGGTGTCTTTGTTGTTGTTGTTGTTTGTATTTGGTTCAGGGTGTAAGAATATTCCTATTGTTTGCATGAGATCTTGTGCTTGGGTATTACCTATTTTGGTTTGTATTGTGTTTTGTGATATCATATTAGTAATAGTCAGGATTAAACTAGATTTGCCTTTTTTTGTTGTTTTTTCTAGTATAGTTGTTATTTCGTTAGAAATATCTTGAGTTTGATATAGTGAGTATCTACTAGTCTTTCTTTTTTTGAGTTGTTAGTTAGTTTTTTGTTCACTATCTGAGTCAGTATCTTGTGTTGGGTAGGTAGTTATATCAGACATATTTATATCATCTTCTTGGTGTGTTGCTAACATTATTAATGTTAGCGAATACTTGTTGTTAGAGGAGGTTGTTGTAGGAGTAGTCTTTCTATTTCTTTTATTTATTGTGTTCTTGTATGTATTCTACTGTTTGCTAGATATTTATTTAATTAGTTAATTATATGAATATAATATTGCAAGTGTTAAACCGTATTTCTTTTTCCTGTAGTTTATTTTTTCTTAGTAAATTAAGATCTATGGGAAAGAGTTTTGTAATATTAACTATTCTGTTTTTATTTTATTGATTTCTGTTTAAACAATAGTAAGTATTTTGTATTATCTGATTATCAATAACAAATAATATTGAATTATTACTATTACATAATTATCGATAATTCAATATTCTTTGTCAAGTATAAATAAGTCCGGTTTTCATATGTTTGAGTAAGATAATGTTAATGACAAAATATCATAGACCACAAGAAATTCAAAAAATATACAAAGTTTTATCTGAAATATTAAGAAGGTAAAATAACCAAGAAAAGATAACAAGTATCAGAACACCTAGTAGTAATAGATTATATTTTGTAGCAGATATAGAGAAAATATTTAGAAACCAGAAATAAATAAATAAAAGAAAAAGATCTGTTATGCAAGAGTCAGCTTAGAGATGCAAAAAGAAGATCTTAACAGACAGTGTAAGTATTTCAAACAGAAATATCTAGAACACGAGCATATCAAGAATATTGGATCAGGTCTTAATTAAAAACATAGGGTTTTATATCCATTTTGGAATAGTCATACCAAAGAGATATCGAGGAAGTTGTAGTTACCTACAAGGACTAGCTTTGCTGATTTGCTTATGAACTCATCGAATAAATCTTTGGTAAGAACAATATAAAGATCATGGTACTCAGTTCAGATGTCAATGTTGATGACACTAAGTCTGATGAGCTTGCTAAGGATCTATTATTAATTATTACTATCTTTACTACAAGGCACAATGAACTTAGATTAGCCAAGAACTAAAAATGACAAAGAGAAATTGAAAACATAAAAGATATGGATATACTCAATATCTGAAGAAAGTAAAAAGTTAAAAAGATGAATAGGAACTATGAGGTAGACATATAATCATATGTTAAACATGATACAAGATAATGGTATAGTAAATCAACAGGTCATACATAAACAATGTTTGAATGATAAATATTTCAAATGTAACCTGAAAGTATTCTGAGTTCTTGACACTTCAAGAGATATAAATTTATATGTGATTAGAAAATTGATAAGTGTATACAAAAAGTATAAAAAAATATAATCTGATGATCTTAGTATAGTGGTTAGGTTGCCAGACTGCCATGCAAGAGATCTAGAGTTCAAATCCTACTGTTGACGCATTTGAATAATTACCTGGACCTTTGTACTCAACTTATGGTAAACTCTGCTTGTTTTTGGGGGTTACAACCTTGTAAATCACATTGCACCAATGTCAATCAGAAATTGGAAGTATGATGCAATGCTCGAATTATATTACGTGAATAAATCTTAATAGAATCTACAAGCAGGAGACCTGCATGGTAGAAATTCTAAGTTTGGTAAAGTAGTACAGATTTCGATGGTCAAGCCAGTTAACGTCTGATCCAGTGAAAAACCTGAATACAAAGAATGTGAGATTGATAGATGCGAGTAAGTCTGCTGTGTAATGCAGCCTGGTGTCTTGCATTAGCGGCAACACCAACTTGGCTTAGCAGCAAACTAGATTGGGAGGATCTACTTCGTGAAATATCTGACTAGAACTTGGAGGACTATATCTGGTGGACAGTCACAGCAGGAACTGGGTTTATACAAACATCGACAAGGGTCTAATCCAGATGAATCTGTGAAATAGGCACATGACCACTCTGGTAGGAAATACTTCTGAGGTTAACCAGAGCTCTGCGGCTCACAATATGTTAGGCATACGTATCCTGAGAGAATCTAAGCTATGCAGAGAAATAGATTTGTAGGTAAACCAGCTGGCATAAGAGGTTGATCATAGTAGTGACGTTAGTTTGAGATGAGGGGAAAGGTTAATGATCAGAGTATTTAAAAAGGTAACTCACAGACAGGTTGCAGGTATAGCAGCATAGTGTAAAACCAACAGATGATCGATTGTCTGTATGGCGGACTACTTAAATTAGACAATGACTAAAATTGTACGTGTGACTTGTTGTATACTCATCATGTAACTGTAAAACCTTAGGAAACTGTTCATGTGATAGTTCTGAAATAACAAACTAATAAAAATCTAATCAGCCAAGGAAGTAATCTTAATAACAAAAAACAAAAAGTATAAAAAAATGCATAGTAATAATTTTTGAATGAATACAAATCAAAAAAAAATCAATCACAAACAATCTTGATACTTGCGAGAAATTAGAAAAGGAACAAAGATAAATACGTGTTTTTGAAAACTATCATCACATCAGAAATACTACCACCAAAAATAAATAGCATAGTGAACATTACTATAAATCGTTTGGGTCATTTTTACCTGTGTGTTTCTGTTTCTCTAAATATTGTTGATACTCAAGATAATGTCTGGAGAAAGATGATCTTACTTGATCCAGATGTTCATACATTCATGACTGGTTATGATCCTAAGGGACAAATCGTTGAATGAGGTAACAGGAATCTTAATAAAATATTCAAATTGTCAAAGAAATATGATAAATTGCAGAGTGATAAGGATCTTGCTATAGGACGAAGGAATAAATAAAAGAGATTTCGATTAAGAAAAAAGATGTTTTGTATCATTTGATGAATCTGTAATTTGATTGATAAATGTCATTATCAGCTGTCACGATAGTTGTGCGAGAATTACGAATTCATCCTATTACCCAGATTTGAATCCTTGAACATGATACTTAGAAACAAGAGGAAGATCAGGTCAAAAACCGCTCGAATGATGTTGACATGGTCACATTTCAGGTTCCGAATTAGAGGTTGGAACCGGTTTTAATAATTCGGGTTTATCACATGAATTTTGTGATATTTTAGAATTTATTAAAATTTAATTGGATAAATTTCTAAAATATCACAAAATTCACGTGATAAACCCGAATTATTAAAACCGGTTCCAACCTCTATTCCGAATGTTCTTAGAACATAAGGCCAGGGAGTTTAAAATTTGCAAGATCATTGCGTGTACCGAGGAATACACGTCGAAAACATGTGGATATTGCGGGTTCGTGAAGAATGATCTTGGTGGATCAAAGACGTTCAGATGCGATTCGTGTGAAGTTGAAATGGACCGGGACGTGAATGGCGCCAGAAATATCTTGCTCAAATATTTGACGGAGGGTCAGGCTTCGGCCTGACTTTGGGACTTGAACCTACATAGGATACGATATGAATAGTAAAAACTAACTTTATTTATTCTTATTGGATTCAATTTCAAGGGTCTAATTGACATATTATAGCAACAGAGATAATGACTTTACAAAGCCATGATTAACTAGACATTGAAATTTTAACAATTCTTTTCTGCTTTAGTGTAACCAATTTATTATTGCAAGCTAAATACAAAATTTTACACTAGTAAACAATAATGTTTTGTTTTTTGAAGATTAGATGATATATCAAAAATGATAATGTATATATATATATAATAAGTTCATAATTTTTTTATAAATGATTTTTTTTCTATGAGCTATTATAATAATTGTTTTCATTTTAATTATTATCTAATATTAGACGTTAATTCTTCACCCGCAAATTCTGTGTAATTTTTAATATGTCTGGACCGACGATGTTTTGCTCTTTGGTATTTATATGTGAGATTCATAATATCCTAAAAAATTGCAATAAATAAATTAATCTTCAAATATGAAAAATATGATCATTTAAAATCACAAACCTTTATGACTATGAATAGACATCCACCTAGAACATTTCGGTGAAAAGTATCAGGTATACGTGAACGAATAAATGAAAATCGACCAAGGAAGCTGTTAAAAAATATTTTATAGTCATTTTATTGTAATTGTACATATACCTCCCAAAGAATTATATACAAGAAAGTTTGTATATTCACCTTCCAACCATGGCCGAAATGACTATATTTCATATGAAATAATTTATTATTGCGTCAAATAAGAGTAATATAAATAATTGTCATATAAACTTACATGGTAAGCATAATGCACCAATAATCTTGCGACCAGCGTTGCTTCTATCCAAACGATCCAATACATCTTGATCTCGACGTCGCTCATTACCATTTTCTCCATTTTCTGAATCTGTCGCAACTGAATACGGCTCAAGTTGCCTACGCCATGATTGCTCAAGTCGACCAAATAGACGGTTATAGGAATAATTATAAACAATTCTAGCCCATGGTAAAAGAGAAATTGTAAGGGATGGGTTTAGAGGCATGGTGGTTCTTAATTGGTCGTATCTAATAAAGAGCATAGGAATAAGTGGCATGACCGGATCGGCAATACGAGCCCTCGAAAAGATAAGCAATATCGGAACAAGAGGGAGAGTAAACTATTTATAAATAATATATAATTTAGTTTTTCTCGCTAATATAATAATAACTTTGTATACAGTATTAATAATTTAAGGTGATACTTACACAAACCCTCCAACTCCAAGGTTCTTCCAAAAGTCGTTCACCATCTTCGAGACCAACCATTGTGATTACCGCATAAGCTCTAATATAGTTAAAAGCCATTAATATTGATTACGCTATGATAAATTTGAATTTTCATGGTCACCAACCAACCCATAGTGAATGTTTGTAACTGCTATAGCGAAAGTAACCCCGAAAATTGTAAAATATGGAATCGATGATTGGATTGCAGAATCAACGATTGAAAAAACGCGTAAAAGAAGAGATGCTCGCTCAGCAAGATGGTATAAAGTCCTACATTGAGGGCACCGTACCTATTAATGAAATATTAAGTGTTAAAAATCTTAATTCGATCAAAAAAAAAATTTTTTTTGAATTGTTTAGGACGAACCTTCTTTAACGCAGTGCTTTTTTGATTTTCCGTAATCCAAGCAAGCAAACATTCTTCATGACATATAAGAGAACATTTACAAGGTCGGACCCATTTACCCACACTGTCGGATTCTTCGCCAAAACAAATCCAACACCTTTTATCCTTTATTTCTTCAGGGTGCATTAACGAACGTACATCTGAACTTATTTGAGTCGAAGTTGAGGCATTCCCTGAACTCGTCTGAGTCGCAGTTGGAGTTGTAGTTGGGAAGTTAATGACTCCTGATCGATCGTTATTGCGAGCGATCGGCCGCTGTGTGTCGTTCTCTACAACTGTAGAGGATAAATCACGATTACGAGCGATTGGAGAAGAATATGGCGTCGTTGATGACATAAGAATAAACAAGTTTGTAAATGGTTTATTGGGTACTGTAAAAAAAAAAAAAAAAAAAAAAAGGGGAATAAAGTTTTTTATGAGCAAAGGTAGACTCAAGCGCAATAGTTGTATTTTACAATACCACAATCGCTCTTATGCTGGAATTCAAATGTAATGATTGGCAATATAGCTTGTTAAAGCTATTATAAAAACTTCTTTTTGCGCTAGGCAAGATAGGACTACTCTGTAATTGTGGATCTATAAAAAAACAAAGAAAAACTTACAATATGTAAAAGCTAATGGTTAAATACAAGCGTGAATTTGTCCTCGTTCAACAACAGGAACACGGAAATTTTTCCGAAATTTGGCGGCCAAATTTTTTGCCGAGCAATATGTGGCTTTTTTTTACTTTTTTCATATGCACGGATTTAATACTAATTAAAAGTAAGTTTTAAGATTAAATAATTTTTAATCTGTAAGTTATTCTAGGCAAATTTGCCTGGAAATTCGTGTAATAATATCTATAATTTATATTAAAATATTTAAACAAAAATTTTTTTTGATATTACTATATATATATTTTTTTTTTCCACTTAGATGATTTTGTTTTTTATTTTATTAGAAGAATTATCAAATAAGATAATACAGGCAATATAAAATACTATATCTTGACATAATATTTTACTATCTTTTTTTGTTGCAATTTAGAACTAATTTAGCTATTCAGATAGTGTCTAAGTTTGATTTGTCACAGAAGCATTTTATTTTTTATTAGTAATATTCTATTTAGTAGAAGAAGTTACTAATAATCAAAAAAAGACAATTTCTAGTTTACATCAAGATCTTAGATTCTTTCTAATCTAATCTAAGACTAAACTAAAAGTTGTTAATACCTAGTTTTAAGATAAAAAAAAATAAAAAATTATTATCTCTTAAACTGTATTCTAGGCAAATTTGCCTGGAAAATTAAAGAGTAAATACTATTTTTTAAATAATTTAATAAAATATTAATGATATGAGGTCTATATTATATATAGAATATATTATTGAAAACATATTCTATAAACTTTATTAAGGAATTTTCTTATTTTTACTA